ATATTTTTAGTTTGAAACGTGTAAACGTGAAAGTAATATTTAGTTTACAAAAAATTACTTTAATAAATGCTTTATTGCATCATTTTGTTCGGGTAAATGTTGTAAGGGACCATAAAACCCGAGAACAAATTGATTGATTGGGTATATTACCCATATTTAATGAGTGTAGAATTCCATTATGCATTCATTGATTGAAGTTGAATGAAATTATATTATGCGAAACTCCGTTTATTATGGAAGTATTTTATTCAACGAGTCCAAAAAAAATAGTAATAAAGCTATACGAAAATAATATTCTATTTATCATGTTTAGCACATATTCAAAATTAGAACTTAAAAAGAATCGATTTTCATCGACGCTTTCATACTGTAACCACAAGATTCAGCGCATATACACGTTTTGAGAAAATTTGTATTTGTCTGCTGGGAAGGGGAGAAAATAAAAACATAAAATACGTTTAAACAGTATATAATATCTTTTAAAAAATCCGAATTTCAAATGCACGTTTTCTTCTCGTTTGGTGTTGTTGTTTCGTGATTTAAAAAAACAAACTATTAATACCAGCAAGCCAGGTACTTGTTCCATATTGTTTGCGGTTGTGTAAAAATAATTTAAGATTTCATTCTTGCTTTTAAAAAGTTTTCAAGTTTAAGACATTAATTGCTAACTGTATTGATATTCGTTGAATATTTATTTTTGTTTCTACAAATAAAGATTTTGTTCCGTTCTGTTCTGTTAAACTTCTACGCCAAGGTTGGATATTCTGTAAACCATCGTCGGAACCAGTTTTGAACTGTTGTGACAATAATTACGACATTTTAATTACTAAGGTGGGAAAGGTTTAAACGAGATAATATTATTTTTAGGTAGCTGTCGAAATGGAGCAACGAATAAAGCAAACGAAAATATCCGACTTGTAATCGTTGTCTAGTTATCATAGTAAAGAAAACAATAGTATTGACATATAGAATTGAAGATATTCTTGACCCCCCCCTTTCCCCGATAGAACGAAAGTAGCGTGGTCTAGCCTAAAGCTGTGTCAACTAACCGAATGATTGTTACATTATAGATGATGTCACAGAATCACTTAACTTATACAGATGATATATGCACTAAGCGATAATATGTAGGTCAAAAATAAATTAAAATATCTATAAAATGGTGACACAAATGTTATTTTAACCTATATAGTGCCATTCAGAAGAACATTAATTAATTACATGCACTCTGTACAAAGGTTTAATCGTTATGTATTATAGAAAATAGTGTACATTTTAAGGTCATCTCAGCCATTCGGTCTAATCTTGGAAGGATAATTTGTAGGAAGAACTGTGGAATGGCATGCGGTAATGCTCAGACCCCCCCCCCAAAAAAAAAAAACAACAAACAAACAAAAAAACAACCAAAAAACAATCAAACAAAACAATAATTTTTCAACAAATTAAGAACCAATTAAATTTCCACAAATAAAGAACCAATTAATTGAACTGATCTGACTATTTATCTAGACATTAAATAAGAAATACAGTGATGCAATCAAATTTTATTATACAGTTAAACACACCAAACTAAATGGAAAGCATCCTGTTTATAAATTTTGTCAATATGCGTTAAAGCAGCATGCCTCCAGATTCATGCTTATCATCATGAACAATTAAATGTGAAATATTGTGAAGTTACACATACAAATCTTGTACCGTTTTGGTAACCTGCGCGACGGAAATCGACGGAATATAACGAAGACGACGATTACCACAAATGTGCCTCTTTCGCATAAATCTATTTTGTGATGTTCAACCTAAACTAAACTATTGAACGTTGACAGAAAGGGCCAAGTTTAACCTTTTACCAAGAAAAAATGAAAAGGTTTTGAAAACTTATTTAATTCTTTGATGTGCAAATTATGAGTACATTGTATACAGACCTTTCTAATGATATAAAATATGAAACTGATTAATGAAAGATAACTTTGTAATTATTTATACATATGCATATAATCAGACGCCATACTGTTTTCCAACTAATCACAAGTTACTTGTATATCTTATCAGCAATCTGTTACTATTAATAGATTCTATAACACTTACATACAACGTGTAGTCACGTGATTCTTACAATAGAACAGGGAGAATCTGTTTATAATTAGATAAAATAATGAAATATAATAGGTCTCATAAGATATAAACAACCAAATAATTTAAATGTCTCATTCCAAATATCATTCATGATTTATCAATCATAAAATAGCAACGCTTGACACTTAGAAAAAAAGTAAAAGTATCCCTAAATTCAATGACTGGTCCATAGGGATACGTTATTAATTCATTTTATGAAAATTGTAATGTTGCTTTTTAAGATGTCAATATTTGTATACTTCATTTCATTTAGCAACGTTACTTTGTTTTTGAATTTTTAAGATTATGAAACATAATTGTGGTCCTTAATTGTTCAGTAATTGATTTGCTTTTATATTCAGATTTTAAGGCCTTCTCCTACCATAGATATAATATTAAACTGTTACAAATATAGTCGCCGGTTTCTACCGGCGACTAATGAATTGTCATATACCGGAAGGATGTCTTCCTTTCATTTCTTAAAGGCTCATTATGCCTCAGAAATGATTTTTTTTCTTAAAAGCATTTTAATTTGGTGTACTGTAACAGTTTCCAGAAAGTTACTTATTGGACAGTTACCTGAAACATCTTTAATCTGTTGCTTTTGGCTAATAGTACATTAAAAGTGAATTAGTATTTTTAATGGAAGTCAAAATACTACTTTGTTTATAACTTGGTACTTTTGTGACAAATTATTTCACATTTATCGCTACTTTCTTCTGATAACAAACATCTAACATTTGCTGAAACTATAAAATCAACATTATAATATTCACGTTTGCCCTTTCTAAAGAAGTACAAATTTATTTGTTTCAGAAGCAAGATGTGTCTTTAAGTTAAGATAAACATTTTTTCAGTAAAGTTGTTGACTAAACCAGGGTCTTTTAAATAAAAGACTTAATTAAAAAAAACAAATTTGAAGTAGTCTAAGTTACAAGAGGGCCATGATGGCCCTGAGGTCGCTCACCTGTATATAGGCCCCCCACCCCCGGGCCAATTTTTACCCAAGGGCTTTTATTTGTTTATTTGAACAGACTTGGTAGACACCCATAAGAAGATGTTTCATGCTAAACATCTAAGTTCTAGCTCATTGGCTTTTTAAAAGAAGATTTTAAAAGTTTTTACTATACACATATAGTTAAAAACAATGACACCCCTGGGGCAGGGCCAGTTTTGACCCCCGGGCGTTTATTTTAACAAACTTTGTAGATATTTACTTAAAGATGTTTCATGCTTAATATCTAAACTCTAGCTATTTGAGTTTTTCCAAAGAAGATTTTTAAGTTTTTGCTATACACATATAAGGAAAATCAATGACCCCCCCCCCCGGGCGGGGCCAGTTTGGACCCCAGGGCTTTTGTTTGAACATACTTGGTAGACACCCATTAGAACATGTTTCATGCTAAATATCTTAGCTCTAGCTCTTTGAGTTCTTTAAAAGAAGATTTTTTAAGTTTTTACTATATGCATATAGGGAAAATCAATGACCCCCTGGGGCAGGGCCAATTTTGACCCCAGGGCTTTTATTTGAACAAACTTGGTAGACACTCATTAGAAGATGTTTCATGCTAAATATCTTAGCTCTAGCTCTTTGGGTCCTTTAAAAGTAGATTTTTTAAGTTTTTACTATATGCATATAGGGAAAATCTATGACGCCCTGGGGCGGGGTCAATTTTGACCCCAGGGCTTTTATTTGAACAAACTTGGTAGACATTCACTAGAAGATGTTTCATGCCAAATATCTAAGCTCTAGCTCTTCTGGTTCTTTAAAAGAAGTTTTTTAAGTTTTTACTATACGCATAAAGGGAAAATCAATGACCCCCGGGGCGGGGCCAATTTTGACCCCACGGCTTTTATTTGAACAAACTTGGTAGACATTCACTAGAAGATGTTTCATGCCAAATATCTAAGCTCTAGCTCTTACGGTTCTTTAAAAGAAGATTTTTAAGTTTTTACTACATGCATATAGAGAAAATCAATGACCCCCAGGGGCGGGGCCAATTTTGACCCCATGGCTTTTATTTGATCAAACTTGGTAGACACCCATTAGAACATGTTTCATGCTAAATATCTTAGCTCTAGCTCTTTGGGTTTTTTAAAAGAAGATTTTTTAAGTTTTTACTATATGCATATAGAGAAAATCAATGACCCCCCCCCCCTGGGAGGGGCCAATTTTGACCCCAGGGCTTTTATTTGAACAAACTTGGTAGACACTCACTAGAAGATGTTTCATGCCAAATATCTAAGCTCTAGCTCTTATGGTTTTTTAAAAGAAGATATTTAAAGTTTTTTCTTTTGGTTGCCATGGCAACCAGAGTTCTGCATGGAATTAAATTCTTTGAACAATTTTTAAAGGTGACCACCAAAGGAACATTCCTGTGAAGTTTGGATGAAATTGGCTCAGTGGTTTATGAGGAGATGTCATTTAAAGCAAAAGTTTACGGACGGACGGACGGACGACGGACGGACGGACGCCGGACGAAAAGCGATCACAAAAGCTCACCCTGTCACTTTGTGACAGGTGAGCTAAAAAAAATAGAGAATACAATAACAACAGCATCAACAACGAAACAATCATATTTGATATCTAATTGTGATATTTAGTCACTACTGTATCATTACAGCAGACGACACACAGGACTGTTATCGTCCGGTTATAGATAGGTACTCTGGTATCAGTTGAAGATATCTCTTGTTTCAAACACCGTACATGTCAGAAATCATCTTCAAGTTCAGAAAAACACGTCACGAGATTTCGATAAAGTTTAAACAACTTTAAATCATTGAATTATACTAATATGATATTAAAAACTTAAGTGAATTTTAAATAAAATGAACAAAAATACAAGGAAATTAGTATGATTAAAAAAAAATCAATAACTTACGGTTTACCGATGATAATCCAATTTTTAGTATGACACAAACATCCGAGACACCGCCCCCTAATTTAATCATACTCTCTACATGAATTAACCGGGTGCCCTTTATACACTGAATCTTATCACCTACCATAAAACAATCAAAGTGTTTAAATCCAATTTAAAATTAACATGTTAAGATCCGTCATTTATTTAATGATCAGAGGTGAAGAGCGCTGGATTATTGTTAAACTGAAACAAGTTTATAAAGCATTTAAAAAGGCGTTATGTAATCGCGTTTAATATTGAATTTTTAATTTTTGTCATTTTAACAGGGCAATGTTTACCTAGCTTAAGGATGATGTTAATGTTATTTCATGATGTTGAAATACATTCAACTAAGATATCAACTTACTAGTAAATTGAATAAAATAATAGCGTTTCGGTTTCAGTTTTAATTAAAGATCCTGTATAATGTAATTAAGGTTGTTACCACACTTTTAAAAGTGAAATTATATATATGTATACAATTATGATTCTAAAACAATTTTCAAACATCGAAGAATATGTAAAATATGTACTGCAAATATTTGTCCACATTATATGTTATCATTAAAACATATATACATTCATTTCTTACTAAAACATTTAACTTAGACTTTATAGAAAATAAATTTCTAATTATCCCCCTTTAGTAACATGAAATGTAAATTCGGTAATATCTTTACAAATAATGCTTTTTGGAACTAACAGTATTGATAAATTGTCATTTGAGCATTTTATTTATTATATAAAACCATAAAAATTGAGTTACAGGATCTTTAAATAAAGGAATGAAATATGCAACTGGTTATAACAAATTATTGAGCAAAAAAAACAACAACAAAACAGTTATCAAAGAAAGTCAACTTATATCACATATACAAGAATACTGTTATGGCTAGGTTAAGTATGATATCAAAACTTATTTACACTGAAACAAACAGAAAAAGGAAGGAACTGGGAATGAGAAGCGTAACAAGAATAAAGTCGACTGTGACTAAATTAGGGTGGCCACAACAAATGGTTTTTGAAGTCATACCGTCAGGTTTTTGCCCAATTTTAAAATTAACAGATCGTGTTGGATTGGTATTTTTTCGGCCGATGGTCTTCTGATTTCACCTGACTTCCGCTAAAATTAACAGTAAATAAATGAGAATAGGCAGAATTTCCATAGGTCATTTTAACACTAATAACCTGTTCGATTGATACTTTAGAAGAGCTTCCGTTATAGGTACAGTTCTTTTAAACTGTTCGATTGCTCAATGGCAAGAAGTCTTGGAAGAAGATATAAGTCAGAATAAATATAAAACACAATAATGATATTTTCTACATGTTTCTAACAGCTTTTCAATAAATATATGAAATTAAATATGACAGATCACGTTTTTGATACTATTGCATTCGATAGGATTTCCCTTCTAAGCTGTTCTAGTCATTATATCCTCTTCTCGAACCGGGCATAAGACGATTGAAACGAACTTTCGACTAATTTACAGTTGCAAAATTCTCTGTGAAATTAGTGTACACTATCTACTAAATGTTTTATTATAAATTCCTATTCAAGTCAAATCCAATTTTGATTAAAATCAAATAATGTAAGTAATATTGTTTAAATCTAAGATGACAATTAGTGGGGAGAAACATTGCGGGTAAAAATGAACTGAAATAAAATTATTGAGGACGAATAAAATGTTCTGTTTGCGGTAAGCTTGGTTAGTGGTAGCTAATCCTATGCAAGTTAACAAGTTTGACTTCGGCCGAGTATCTTTTTTTAAAGATACTTCTTGTTTTCATTGTGGCCGTACACTCGGACGATACGAAAAGATATTTAGATGTATAGATGTATGAGGAACATCTTAAAATGCCGTGATATTATCAGAAAAACTGCGGTCCTGTTGTTCAAACAATCTAGAAACTTCTTGGGATGAAAAAGTATACTGCTTACATACATACAAGCGACGTTCTGGAGTTTACATTAAAAATATGGTCAATTGTATAGTTTCGTTAATAAAATAACCTTAATGAAACCAAAAAATCGTACACATGCTTTTAGGCTTATATATGTGATAACAGTTGATTTTCTTTGATAACCGTTATTTTTTGCTCAATAATTTATTATAACCAGTTACATATTTTATTCCTTAATTTAATCAAAGTCTGTATATTACGGAAAAAGAAAAAAACACCACTTCGGCAAGGAACAGCCAATACATGTATATCTCGGCAACGCTAGACGTTAAAATGTGGATAACTTTGCCACATTGACATGCAGGGATAAATGACCTTAATATAATCTTAGTATAATGTAGAAAGACCATACATTTTCTTTTTTTTTATGATTTATCATCGGTTTGATTATCGATTATGTAACATAGAAAATCACTATTCTGTCCTTGAATTTGTTTTATTGTTAATTAATTTAGGTTATTTCAAGGACAGATAACTTATACATCAGTCATTCAAACCTCAATGTTACAATTGTTATGTCTTCGGTTACAATACAAAATTTCATGAAATTTTATTTCACATTTGTGTTCACTTGTACAATCTTTGTAGGAAGACTAAACATTCCTGCCTTTAAATAAAGTTCATTTTTCATGAAAATTGGAATAACTTTAAAGTAAGTTTAGATTTCAAACATTGTTGATTTGCCTTGAAATTAGCTAAATTTTTAATTTCAATGGGAGATCACTCGAAAACAGTGTTGATAATAGCCTAAACTATTACTGTTTATCATATTTTAAGACTATGAAAAGTTTACATAGATTATGTTATTTAGTTTTCTTTCTGCTGTACTCTTCAACAGCTTTATCACGGATCACTTCCGGTCTTGCAATTCAATATATGCACCATCAATCGCCGAGGAGTTCCGATTTATGTACCATGTCTTGCGATTACAAGCATATGCAATTTCATTTCTTGCTTAAATTATACCTTTCTTGCGAGAACAGGAAGAAGACTCGGTTTATCCACTATATACATTTTCTGTTTCCTTTATTAAATGTGACCTAAGAAGGAAATTTTTGCAGAGTAAGAAGAATATTGAAAATGATACATTATCTATCGAAACTTCCTTGTATAGGTGCTATTTTTAATAAACGTATTTAAAAGGTTACAAAGTAAAATTAAATAGATCATTATAAGCTGTTAACAGATGATGATATTTTCAGTAAACATTTGGCAATATTGACCGTATTCAATATACATATTAAGATGATCTTATCCTTAAATATGACCTTATAAAATTAATAACAAAATCTTAAAATTAGCGTTTTTTTTCTAAGAAAAATATTAAGTGATATTTAATAAACATCTTATCTTAAGTTTTTCCTTAAATATACGATTTTCCTCCCTTAACTTTAAGGAAGCCACATAGCAACCTTAACTTTGCTCTTAGAAATAAGGAATTTAGTTTGCATCATCAAAAACGCCATTTTTTCGGGCTGGTTAATATCTTCTGATGTACATACATATTAATTGAAATCTTTTTCGTTCAAAAAACGATTTTGTATGCTTATATGCTAATGCGAAGGGCGATAATCGATGTATGTTTCCGTAAAAGTCGTGCGTCATGGATCGAATGTTTGCATCATTTAAGCTCAATTTACCTAAAATATTGCCACTATTGGAGGCGAACATTTTTAGAAGGCAAATAATTAACAGACTCAAGATATACCATAGCATTGTGTAAATGCTCATATGTTTTGTTGTGCCTGCGTATGTGAATTGTAATCGGAATTCGCGAGTTTACAAGTAGACTAAACATGCTATGATATTATGGCTCTATCCACAACAAACTGATCAACACCAATTTCCTGTGACTATGTCTAATTATAAATAACGAAGTGTTAAATACAAACAATGATGAGACTGCATAAAAGGACATCCTCAAACAGATCCTTCATAGAGAAGCTAATATAAAAAAGGAAACGACACGAATGATAAAAAAATACTGAGCAAGGTACCATAGAAACACTTGATGAGGAAATCAACACAAAGATGAACAGAATATGCCGACATATATATAACATCAACAACCAGTACAAGGCAATTACATATTTGAAGGAAAACCTCCAAGATGACGATGTAATATTTCATGTTGACTTTAGCGAGAATTACAACTGTAAATATGATAAAGAAATACAAGCTGTTCATTACGGAGCATCGCAACGCCAGATATTGATAAGCATTCACCAAAACTGAAACGATTCCGTTTGCCACACTCTCAGATAACTTGGAACATGGTCCTAGTGGAATTTGGGCACACATGGAACCTGTTATTAAGTATATGAATACTCGTCATGAGTTTAAGACTTTACATTTTGTATCTGATGGACCAACGCCCCAGTACAGAAGTAAGTTCAATCTTTATCTTTTTACCACACAAATGTTTGAAAAAGGATATTTGAAAGGAACATGGAACTTCCTAGAGTCTAGCCATGGAAAAGGGGCAGCAGATGGTGTAGGCTCGGTGGTAAAACGAACTGCGGACAAACGTGTGGAAACAAACGGATCATATATAACTTGTGCCGAAGATTTAGCTCACGAAATGAAAGACTTAAACGTAAAAGTATTCATAGTCAAAGGTGAAGAAATTGATAGATTGGCAGAAAAGATCCCAAAGGATTTAAAACGTATTCATGACATCATGAAAGTTCACCAGGTAATTAGACTTTTTGTAACACTTAAAACGTATACACGCTTATACCTAAAATATAAAACCACAACAACAATAAAATTTTATTCGCAGACTCAACATTACAGATGCATTTGGCTTACACATTAATAAGTAAAAATATTCTATTAATAAAAGACAGTTTAAAATAAAAGTAAATAAATACATTAAAAACATACTTTACTAATTAAAGCGCAGATCATTACAACAACAAAAAATAATATATCATATAAATATTATGAGCAACGTGAGTTTCAGGTGTTGGTGAATGAACCAGGAAAATTGCGCTCCAGAGTAGTGTCCTTCTGTAAATACTCAGATGAATGCCGCTGATACATGAATGAGTCTGGTACAACATGCTTTCTAAAAGCGGAAAAACATGTAAGTATAGTGTTATTTTCTGTTATATGATAACTGCTCTCAAAAATTCTCAATCAAGTAATAATAATTGTATTACATATGCCTTAACACACCATACCCTGTCCGTCACAATCCACTGTGATAGCATTTATATAGTTAATGATATGTTAATTGTCTTTCAGATAAATAGCAAGTCGTCAAATGTCAACATTACTACACCACCAGAAGCTGACAGAAGTGGTCCGTCTGATTCAGGGAGTGGTAATCTAGACCAACAGGAACAGTCTCTGCAGGTAACTTTGAAATAACTGCAAAATAAATATATAAAAGTCATTTTATTCTCTCAGCTAATCGCATAATTTGCGTTACATGTATATTGTAAAATTTTATGCAAGTTAATAATACTTGTAACTTTATATTTTTATTTTCTACATTTTACATTTTCAGCAATCAATCCTCCGACCTCCACTTGATGTCGACGAAACCTTAATTGGACAATACGTGGTGGTACTCTATGATGGACTACCATATCCTGGGGTGGTGAAGGACGTTGATGAAAATGACCTTGAAGTGAAGGTAACTTGATTACATTTGGATTTGAAAATATTGATCACATGATGACAAATGTGTTGAAAGTTCTGTGTAAAATCACACATGCAGTAACACATCATTATATAATTTGCAAAAAAAAAATATTATGATGAAAGATTTCTTTAAACTTAGCTACTCTATCTTGATCAATGTTATACTAAATATGTATGTTGTATTCTTTACTTGATCACTGCAATACAAACCATTTATTCGTCTTTGTTTCAGGTAATGCACAAAGTTGGAGTAAACAGGTTCTACTGGCCAAGCCCATTAGAAGATATATGTTGGTACACGAAAGAAAACGTCTTAACGATTCTCGAGTCAGAACCAAAAAAACTAACTGGACGTCATTGCCAAATTGATTCCGAAACATGAACATTGATTGCTAAACACTTAGATGTGTAGATGTGAATGCCATTTCACACACAATAGTTTCATATTGTTGTAAAACAAATTATTGGATAGTTTCTTGTTACTAGTTGCAACGACTATTTGATTCGTTGGTATTATATATATAAAAAAGTTCCTAATGATAGTTCATGTGTGACAGTGTGCTATAATGGAAGCTGTATATATTCGTTACCATTTGTATGGTATCATCATTATGATTCGACGGTGATTGCAGAGTGTATACCTTTCTAAAAACAGTTCCTATCATAATTCTAGTTTAAATTGTTCTATGTGTAAAATAAAAAGATTGATTTGAAGTTATAACTATGTTGATTATAGTTGTGTATCATATATTGTACTATAAATGTCATTTCCGTAACCCAGACAATTTTTCCATAACCAATTATCATTTCCATAACCAACACATATTTTGCAATTATGCTTGTCATGTTATAAGTTAAGTGCTCATCACCCTATTATTCTTATAGAAAATATCCTGACCATTGTAACGATGTGACTTAATGTTATGAGGTCGTTGTATAAAGGCCAGTGGAAAATGTTACACAAAGCCTTATTTGAAATTAAAGTAACATGTAGAATTTCAGTGGTAAAAATGTTATTTAAAAACGGAATTTAACAATCATTTTAATGATGCTGTTTAATTATCCTTATAACTATGTATATACATTAATAAGGTGTCAACATATCACATCATTTACTCATGAAACGTAAAATAAATTTGGTTATGGAAATGAAATTTGGTAGACAGGACACATCTGATGAAACCTAAATGGAAAAAATACTCGCAATATTTATTGCTGCTACCACTTCAGTCCTGCAGAGGAATACTAACACAACTTACTGGTCATTTTTTAAAGAAGTTTCGTTAAATTGCAGTGAAAAAATATTTGAGAATTTGTAAAAGTAAAATAGAATGACCCGTATCACGTTCAACCTTCCTCAACTGGGTTTCTCAGTTTCGTGAAGGCAGAACAAGTGTTTGTGACAGGCCTAGGACTGGGCGGCCAGCTGAGGCGGTGACCCCAACAATGGTAGCAAATGTCAAAGCTTTTGTCAACAAAAATCGTCGAGTAACTTTGGAGGAGGTAGCAAACAAGTTTAGCATCGGTACACACGATTTTACACGAACACCTAGGCATGAACAAGGTAAGTGCCAGGTGGGTGCCTAGACAGCTGTCCGCAGATCAAAAGGCAACCAGAGTAACCAATGCAAAAGAACATATAAGTCGTTTTAATCGTGAAGGAGACAATTGTTTTGAACCGCATTATCACTGAAGATGAGATATGGGTTCATTATTCCGAACCTGAGACAAAAGCTCAGTCAAAGCAGTGGAAACGAGCTGGTTCTCCACCTCCTAAAAAGTTTAAGCTGTCTCCTTCGGCTGGCAAAGTCATGCTTGTTGCCTTTTGGGATTCATGAGGAATGATACTTACTCATTTTATGCCAAAAGGTCAAACTGTCACCGCCAAGTACTATTAATACTTTTATTTGTTTCCAGAACTGAAAAAAAATGCTTGCTGGAAAGAAATATAAGACCAGGACGGCTTTGATATCTGCTGTTACACAGTACCTAAAACATAGGTCTACGTCATGGTTCACAGCGGGAATACAAAAGCTCCCACGAAGATTGCAAATGTGCGTAGACGTAGGTGGAGAATGTTTTGAAAAAGAGAAGAATTTTTTTTTTAAAATGTTGAATGGTTTTTGAGAACGAGTCAAAAGTCCGGATATTTTCTGACTTCCCCTCGTATAATACAGCAAAACTTTAAGAAAAGAAAAGAAATTTCTTCATAAATTGACAGCAGCAGTGTTTATGAAACTATTGTTATAAGTTGTGGCCCTTTAATGTGTTTTTTCAAATGTTTGTAAGGACTACATGTATTTCCTTTACAGGACTGAAATGTTAAAGCAGCATGCCTCCAGATTCATGCTCATTTTCATGAAAATTTTTAAAATGTATTTGAAAGTAAAATATTGTTAAATGATCAAAGAAAATGTGCGTTAGTAACGCAGTAGAAAAATTGTGATAAATACTGCAAAATCAGCCCTTAATAGCATATAACATGTAAATCATTACTCGAATCGTTAATATTTTTAATTTATCTTAAAACCTTAGTACATTTTCTCAAGTTTAATTTTCTTGACATATTTTGGATCATCTGGAGGCATGCAGCTTTAAAGGAATAATTTGTACCTAAAGTACCTCTGCATATTAACAAGTTTTTCATTTGAATTAATTTTGACTCAGTAATTGCCCTTGAATACAAAAAAAAAAAGATCTTTTGACCTGTGCCACTTGCCACACAGTAGGTGCAACATTCAAATACAGGGGCCCAAACATACAGGGTGTTCAATAGCCCCAAATACAAATGCCACAATGGCTATCATAATGCTACACATTGGCCACACTTGTTATGTTATGTTGTAGCTAGCACGAACATCAAATGCTCTTGGATTCGTTAATATGATTGTCTTTTGTCCATTATATGTCATACATATAAATTCACTGTGTATATTTGTTACAACAATATTTTGTCAAATTAACATTGAACTCACTCAAATTGTAATAGTTTAACTTCTAACTTCTAGGCTTTTCTTCCATGTCTAATGCATTAAAACCTGGAGGATATTTGTTAAAATGTAAAAGGGTTAATTTATTCATCCAAGGGTAATAGTCTCTGTCAGTCTGTAATTTGGTTTATTGATGTCATGACATCACACAGTGTTTAAGCATTCCTCCCTATTGTTAAGCATATATCAAATAATAATGCATACAACTTCCCAATATCTTTGAAAGGGAATAATATGAAGCATGTTAGTATAATTATTAATGTTTCTTCTCAATCATGCATGAACTAGAAAATTTAAAAATAAATAAAATTATAACATTTTAGCTTTCCAAAGAAATGACAAACAGACAATGTTAGACAATAAATAAAAATAGAGGTGATAAATAGATACATATTGGACAAAGAAGGAATTAAGTATTTGGAAAGAATTTTGCAAAACAAGATTACTCCCCTGGCAAGAAGGAATAATAGCCTGTCTGTGAGAGATAAAATTTTGATTACTCTAAGATATTTGGCTACGGGACCGACTCAGCTGATATTCATGGGGTTAGTCAACCAACTGTTAGCAGATTCATCACGGAAGTAATATCTGCATTAAGCAGTCCAGGCATTGTCAGTAGGTTTAATCAGTTCCCATTAGATCCAGAACAACTGAGAAAAAATCAACAGGAATTTTATGGTTTGGCAAGGTTTCCTAAAGATGTTGGAGTTATAGACTGCTTTCATGTAAGATTAAGGGCACATTTAATGAATGAGGAGCAGTATGTGAACAGAAAAGGTTTTCATACCCCTTAATGGGCAGCTTGTCTTTGATCTTTTTGACCGCAATATAGATGTTGTGTCAAAATGGCCCGGTTCTGTACACGACAGCAAAATTCTGCAGCAAAGTGGTCCTTTCACTTTATTTGAAGGTAGACATATGCCTGCTGGACAATACTACCTTCTAGGAGACTCAGGCTACCCATCTAAGACATGGCTTCTTTCACCTTTCCTTAATCCACAGCCTGGTAGTGAAAGTTCATATAATAGGTAAATATACTGGATTATTTAAATATTATAATTCTATTTCTTAGTAGCTTTGAATTGAAGCCAGAAACATAGTTCAATATAAGACACTATTTTTTTTTATATTTAAATCATTCTGAAAACAAAGATATTTATTCATGTTGAATGTAATGATATCATACATAAAAATCATGATGTTATGATGTCCTATAATTGAAAGTTATAATTTCTATATAAAGATGCCATTCAATTTAAATGAAAGTTCTGTATGTTAGAATTAAAGTAATTGTTCAATTTGCATTGACAATCCAGAAGTCATAAAATACAAGAGCCAAGGTGGAATGTGGTATATGACAGTTGAAAAGGAGATTCAGTGTGTTGCATGGAGAAATTGCATTATCACCTGACAAAGTTTGCAAGTATGAACTTTTAACCACTTTTATAATAAGAAAGTATTGAATTTAATATCTTTTGACAACAGTCTAGATTCACTCAAAGGCATTTTTATTAGGCCAAGTTAGCCTTTTTTCAATTGGCTATTAATTACCAAGGAAAAACAAGAATGAATGAACAAATATTTTGACTTACTTTTGTTTTTAATCAACAGACATAAAAAGCCTAAATTTCAATATTTGAACAATGTCATATATTATATATTTAACATTTATGCTGCAACAAATTAGTACCTTAAAACAAGTGTGAAGAAGCTAGTTGAAAATTAATCATTTACTGCTAGATTAGATTCAAACCCATGTGACAGTAATTTAGATACCATTGATCATAGTTTTATGAACATTAAATTGACTTCTTTTTTTTCACCTGTAAATGATTTGTGCTAAAAATGTTTAAATGTTATAAGGCCATACATAAATGGTTCTTGGCAATATAACCCTCTCTTATATAACAGCTTTCAATATAAATGTATAATATATAAAAAGTCTATACATTGTATAATTTCTTTTCCATAAAATTATAGGCCTTTGACCAAGAACTAGAATTTAAGAACTATCACCAACATGCTGTTAACAATGTCCCTACCGATACCAGTCAAGATTCATACATTTATTCCTTCTTAAAAGTAATTATATTGACATTGCTACTATTATTTGAAGAAGAAAAAAACAACAAAAACATTTTCACCCAAATATAGGGCATGTTTTTTTTAAATAATGAATTTGATGTTTTGCATTAAGTACGACTGTATAATTATAAACAGATGTAAGCAGTATAACCCTTATTACTAAAATTGCATGTCAACCAACTATAAACCGAATAATTAAAAACATATTTATCTAATAACTGTAAAAGAAAAATACTGTTATGAGTCATGTTAATTTTGTAAATCAAAAATCAGGTAGAGATAAACCAGACAGACTTTATGAAAAAAAAAGTTTACATTTAACTCTTGTCCTATGTCTATTACAGGGTAGTCCTTGCATGTGCTGTGTGTCACAATATCTGTAAAAAGCTAAACATCCAGATGCCATCACAAGATGATACAAATGATGATGACAGTTACCCTCAAGACTTTACAGATGTAACGGAAACCATGCTGCTTTTCTCAATGGTTTGAGATTCAGGGATTATGTAGTACAGACATGCTTTTAGATTCGTAAGTAATTATATTGACAG